ATATATTTCAATGCACGAATATACAACAAACAAAAGAAGATGGTATAGAATGATAGGGCTTAGACACGAAAGATAGAAGATAGAAGGTAGGTCAGTGGGCGAGAGAGGTGCAGTACATAGATCAAATACTTAGCATCGTAGGCAAGGGCAGTTATGTATAAATGAAGAGGATCAAAAGAAATTGTAAACTCCGGGGAAAATTTTTAAAATAGCGAAACGTTGGGATTATTTTATATTCTTACTGACCAGAAAATTTTTCTCAATATGTGAACTTTTTTATGATCTTTTACCAAAAAGGGTAATATTTGTTTGTTTTTCGTACACTTCAGTTTATCAGTAATGTTTTTTTAAAAGCACGATGCGTGTATTTTTTGCCTGTCATGTCGCCCGGAAAGTGTTCCCGTTACGAGATAGAGAGCGCATGATTCGTTCTAAACTACATAAGTGTTTTAATTATCGCGTTGTAATCGAAAGAGTGTTTATTTTGCGTCAGCAGGAATGTATTAATTAACCCTTTTTGTTCTCCTGGACATGAGACGTGCTTAGTTACACACAAGTATAAACGCATATTTACATTAACTTGGCAAAGTGCTCACAGTCCCACTCAGAGAGTTTCGAAAGTTTGTAGACTTTCGACATACACTTACCATCCATATATAGATAACTGAATCTGAATGTATTTTACAGTTCCCCAAGTCATCAAGTTTGAAACCAATTAGTCATATAATAGATTCTGGAGCATAATATGGAACTAAGATCGAAGGTACCCTACTTCTCGTAGTAGGTATCATATAAGGATGTCGGCCTCAATGACGCTTTTGTATCCGAAGAAACTCGCACCACCTTCCAAAGTTTCATAGGATACGTCAGTGTTTATTGCACTTGTAATATCCTGTCGCAAAGAAAACCCGTTTAAATCAAACGTCGTATAAACCACCATTCTCAGATAATTGCATTTGGATTAAGAATGGAGTCTAAATGAGATTAATGACAGACTCGAATTGCGAGGTTGAATTTAGATTGTGCCGCAACGCGAACGACACATTTTGAATTGAAGGGGCCTATAAACTGAATAAAAAAAGTAATAAACGGCTATAAATGTTCTAGCAGCCGTTAGGAAAGTTCGTTTACAGTTTGAGGGTTAAATAACGCCAGAATCATTTATGAGTATTATGCTCTTTACTGTATTCTATTGTATAATTTCCACAGTAGATACTAGACTAGGTAATTATTCAATACACTTAGAATTTGGTTTGGGAGAATAGAGGAATTATGTTATAATTTCAGAAGATCGAAAACTGAATTTTACATGGATTGTGTGTACGAGTGTAGTTTATAACGCAAATTTTATTACGTAATTATATTTAATTATAGCTTAAAAATCGTCCATATAAATTGTTTATTTTTATACAAAGTACTAAATGTATTGCTTGATAAGTCTAGTTCATTTTCTCGTAGATATTATGTAAGGAATGCCTGCCCACGTTGGGCACCAAAGGTTAATGCTGTGTGCCCCACGTTAGGCACCAAAAATAATTTTGTGTGCCCCACTTTGGGCGCCAAACAAAAATTGACGAACAGTTTTCTTTGTTGAAGTTTCGCTTTACACGTGAACTTCAACTTTCTTTTACTTGATTTCACTGCGAGGACACGCGATGAATTTTTTAAGGAACCTGCTGACGAGCGCTTTTATTTACAATGATTGACTGGAACAGACGGAATAGAAAATCTTAATTACTTACAGTTTTTAAACCTCTATCCAATTTTGAATTGTTAAAATCAATTGGATTTCTCAAGTAACAATTTCTTTTGTAGGTAGAAAAAGAACTGACGATTTGGGTCTAGATTTGGTATATATAATAAACACGTGAATACTTGAGAAAGTTATCTAAAAGTGAATACTCTCAATCGTGTTACGACTACATCCAATTAATTAATAAGACGAAGCGTACTAAACTTGCCTTCTCAGGTTTCGACTTATATGTTGATGTAGCAGTTCCACTCTTATTTGCCCACTTATTTACCAAGTAAAATTCGCCCTCGCAAACTTATTCACGCAGAACAATAATCTTTAATACATTCAAATATTCTGGCGTACTACCTAAGTAACGACACAACTTTATTTTTGCCGAAGACTATAATCCATCAATAAACTGTCACGTACAAAATAAATGACATCCTCTCCATTTAAAACAAAAAGACTAATGCTTAAAGTTTCAAATTTTAAACTGCTAAATAAGATTTTTTTGCATGATATAGTCTTATCGGATTAAAAAAAGTAATGAAAACATTACTTGCTTAATACTTTAAGGACTGTGCTGGAAAGGGTTATGTTATAGGTAAATTTGTGACAATATAAACCAGATTATTTTCGGAAGGTACGTAGCCAATTTATTTCAAAGCCACTGTAGCACACATGAGTAGGTACTTGTATAGGTAATAGTTATTTAAATATGAGTATGGTAAATCAAGGTTTACGTTAACGAGTGAGATGTTTACTGCCGAAGCAGTTGCGGTTGCTAGGCAAAATTTCCAGTCTGGTAAAAATTTTCAGTCTGGTAAAATACTGTAACGTGATTTATAAATTCGATTTATATCAATATTTATTAAACAAAACTAAAACACTATAAAAACTGTACAATTTATATCGACTATTTATATTACACACTTCGCAATTTATATCAGATTTTCGCGCTCAATGTTTCGTCCGTACTCGATCTCGTTCTGTAGTAAAACTGCTTGCGATGTTCGGTCCACAACCATTTATACACGCAAGCAATGTAAGTCCAGAACATTCGCGTAATTACCGGAATATTCCTATACAAATCCCACTATCGCGCGCGTAGAAAATTCCAGAGCGCCAAAGGCGACGTCATGTCTGGAGCGTTTCCGTTACAATACGATTTACCAGACTCAAATCAGTCTGGGAAAGCGGCGATTACTAGATAGTATGAAATAAAAGTCTTTTCCCGAGAAATTTTGGTGCAGTCGATTTTTGGTCAAAAAGGAAGTGTATACACTGCCTTTTTTTGAGGCCCGAAGAAAAAATTGTCTGAGATCGACCCTTGTAGAATGTGGCTTGTAGAGTCCATAATTTCAAACAGTTCCAAGATTGGGCTACTATTTCAAAAGTTACAGCCCTTTGAATTTTCTTTCGAAATTGGTTTCTAGTCTATAACTTTTGATTGATTGAGAAGTCTGATCGAAAAAGTACGAATTGTTTTGGATTCTACGCACCAAAATTAATAAGAAAAAGTCGGTTCCCGAGAAATTTTGGTGCAGTCGATTTTTGGTAAAAAAGGAAGTGTATACACTGCCTTTTTTTGAGGCCCGAAAAAAAAATTGTTTCAGATCGACCCGGAAAAAAAATGTTCTTATAGAATGTGGCCTGTAGAATCCATAATTTCAAACAGTTCCAAGATTGGGCTACTAGTTCAAAAGTTACAGCCCTTTGAATTTTCTTTTGAAATTGGTTTCTAGTCTATAACTTTTGATTGAGAAGTCTGATCGAAAAAGTACGAATTCTTTTGGATTCTACGCACCAAAATTAATGTGAAAAAGTCTTTTTCCGAGATATTTTGGTGCAGTCGATTTTTGGTAAAAAAGGCACTACTGCCTTTTTTTGAGGCCCGAAGAGAAAATTGTCTCACATCGACCCGGAAAAAAAATTTCTTGTAGAATGTGGCCTGTAGAATCCATAATTTCAAACAGTTCCAAGATTGGGCTTATAGTTCAAAAGTTATAGCCCTTTGAATTTTCTTTCGAAATTGGTTTTTAGTCTAGTCTATTCTAGCGGCGATTACTAGATAGTGTGAAATAAATATAATTATGTCGTATGATGATGATTGTAACGGGAGTTCCCTATACAGAAATTTAAAAGAAAGCAGAAGCTAGATTTATGTAACCTTGAGTGAAAGCGAATATACAAACACATACAAATTTCCTATATTCAGTCGATCGATGTTTTTGACATTTCAAAGCGCACAAAAATAAAACATGTATTTAAAAAAAACAACTTTTTAAGGTTAGACGTTATTAAAAAGAGCATTAGTTTTAAAACACCCTATAAAAGAGCGATAGAAATTTAAACCATCATCCCTACAACAGTTGACTAAATCCTGAAAGAGGCGGCGATGTATTGTTGATTTTGGGAAACTTTTGTAAATTCACGCCAATGGAGATTTAAATTATTAATGAGCGTCTGAGTATTTTTAGGTAACGGCTTGCCTGAAACAGCCTGTATACCACATAGCATAGTGAGCACCCTGTATGCGCCTAAAAACTCCCACCCTGTAGCTTAGTCAATTTCCTGCAGAAATAATTCTGTAACTTTTAATTGTTCATTGCAGAATAACGTTAACGGTTACAAAACATAGGGTAAATGATGAAATACCACAGAGGATTTTCTCTTTCGAACTATTCAATTCATATACACACATGAATAACGGGAATGTCAACATGTATATCGTTACATCTATCAAAATATTTAAATTTCCTTCTATTAAAATCGCATCAAACATGGCACATACCGGATGATTTCGTACAATGAGCTTTAAATGCAAAATACGGCGACGAGCAGAAAATCGATAATATTAAAATTATTTACGTTATTCCTTGGAATTTTAAAAATATTTCCCAAAATTCTCAAGTTTAAAGTTAATACGCTGTCGTACTGTACTATAGGCCATTGTGATCAATTGCAACAAATCACTATACCGCATAAGCAATGGCACATTCTTGCTTCGTCCACTCATTTGCATGCGAAATTTTGATGAACCTAAGACAATTTCAAATATGTGATTTCTGATTTATTCCAGTTATTTTGTTGTTGTGGAAATTAACTTGTGTATCAAGCGCACCTCATTAGGCAATAATTTAAGTACCTTAAATTCAAATTGCGTCTCGTATCTTAACGCCAATACTAAAACAGTATGTTATCAAAAGACTTAGTGTTAATGAGTGTAATTTACTACGATTATTTGGTAATTGCATTATAACAACTCTAGCCAGTATATAAGAGGGATCCCTTGAGATGAAAATGTATTCAATTTCGTTTTGAAACATACAAACAAAGTAAGAATGAAAGCTGTCTTTTTGGTAAGTACGCATTAATTTCATATTATTAATTATAACGGTATTATTTGCTTTGCCTATAGATAACATTTGTGTTGGCACTCTTCGCCTTGGCTGCTTCTAATCCAGCGCCAAAACCCAACCCAATGCCGAATCCTCAATACTGGAACTATGGCTACGGAATGCCGATGCCCTACTACGGAATGGGTACATTATTTTGACTATGTCATGACATCAATAATAATAATTTGCACTATTTTCAGGTTACGGATACTACTACTGAGTCAAAAATATGTTATGTTCCGTGCGAATGTAACGTTGTGAAATAAAGGCATTGCAACAATTATATTTGTTTCATTTCACTTCTATTTACAAGAGTATTAATTAATATAATAGAAAAAGAAAAGTGATATAGTCAATTGTTCTTTGCTACCAATCTACGTACCTACTTTAATTGGTGGTCAGTGGTGCACTTCTGCAGCGTGAATGGGGGCATAGCTACTATTGCATATTATTAAAGGGAACACTTTTTTGGACATATCAGTATAAAAAACATATTAGATAATAAAATTTAGAAAAAAATTCAAACTAAGGAAAATAGTTGTGCCAAGTAATTTTATAATTTTACTAACTTGATATGTTTTCATATTATTAGATAAAAAAAGATCCATTCTTTATCATTACCTCACTGAAAATAGTGCTTTCCATTAAATAATGACCCCTTTCGCCACTGTAAATTTAATTACGGGATTTTATTTTAAAATTAATTAGTAATGAATGGAAATAGGAATGATATCATTGAAATTAAATGCCATTTTCCAATTAATGAATCGATCAAATTCCTATCAATAAACGCAACTTAAATCTGTTTCATGCAAGTAATTGTCAGGGGTCAATTCCTTTAGGAATATTAAAATTATTTCGAACAAAATTCCTTACGCAAATTCCTAACAAACGACCACCACCTTATAGAGAAAACCCAATTTGGTAGAAGTGGAACAGGAAAAATCCAACTCGTCGCGTATTCAATACGAAATCGAAACCAATCAATTTGATTTTTAATTAATTACTCGGCTCCTGTTCGTGATAAAATTCCCGAACATCTGGCAATCGATTCGTTAATTAAGTGCGAACAATTTGACACCAAAATCTCCTCGATAGGCACTCTTTTACTGTAACTCATTTAATTTGCACGCTAATTATACATACTCAAAAGGCTGAATGGAAGCTCAAGAACTCATTACATTAATTAACTTTATGTTAATTGCAAGTTTTCGGATACAGAGCCGACTGGCGCTTATCTAATTTTTGCAAGCACGCGGCGAACTAATAACGAACAAAACAACTCGCTTCGGAACTTGTTCTATCCTTGCTTTTAGTTATCATGGGGAACTAAAACGGCACTGAAACTAAAAAATATGAATAGTCCCTCATCTTCGCCAGGATGAGAGCCTTCGATGGTTACAAAAATAATTCCAAAAGGCGTTTTGATGGGCATGAGAATTTGAAACCTTTTTTCATGGAGGTTAAACAAATTTTTTTGTACGTTAGGAGCAGATTTGAACCCCTTAGACGGTCGCTAAATGTATAGCTATATATCCTAGTAATTATATCATGGCTGCCGCAGCGGTGACTTTTTAAATGTTTCAATTATCCTCCTGCACTGGACGTTCGGGCGTCTTCGGCAATTTGGCTGCTAACTTTACACAGGTCACCCATGGTTCCTGGTTAGGGGCCTGTCATATATGTACGTACGTTTCCCGTTCTATAGTTCTATATCACCTTAAAATCTCCCAATGTTCACTATTTTATTCACGAAGCCTATGCCAAGAAGGAGTTTTTGTGTTAGGAATTTGCCCAAAAGGTTGTAGCTAAGAACGAACGATTTCGTAGGCACAATTTTTCCATTTCATTTGTTGAAAATTTATGATCTAAGGAAAATGTATAATATATGAGAGCCTTCTAATTATGATCGCATCTTGAGACCCCACAAAAGGGTTTACTCTTCGGGTTTGCTTTCTCAATAAGAATTATTTATGTTAGTAGAAATCGTTTTGTTTTCGGGAATTCAATTACGTTTACTGTATCCTAAACTTTGTATAAACAGACGAGATATAATTACAAAGTATAGTAGGCACCGAATACTTTTTTATACCCATCTAATTAACCAGATACGGAAGTCGTAAGGATTTACCACTTTAATTTAATTATTAAAGATGAACTCCTAAAAGTTTAATTATAATTTAAGGAAAACAACTGCAGTATTATAAACACGGCGTTGCTGTATGCCAAGGTTAATTAAAAGTTATGACTCTGGCGCAGTTATTTTCTATCCTGCTGACCTAACGTGACCTTATGGGAATATTTCCCTGCGGGATGCGAGTGTTCCTGCCGCTATACAACGTACTTTATTCATCCTGTTGCTAAATCCCGTGCCATTACAATTTTAACGTTGTTATTAAGCAACATTGCGACTAATTATAATAAATCATAAGATTTCGCGACAGGTTTATGAAATTTTTGAGTCACCTGAGTACGTAATTAAATTAGGAAAACGCTTTCGCATTTAATCAAGTTTAATAACTTGAGGTTAATAGAATAATTAAAAAGAATTTTGCGGCGTACATATGCGCTTGATTTATTGCTCACCAGATATCAATACGTACGAGCGTTTTGAATAATAAAAGGCCACATTCGCGCAGCTACCCCTAAAAAACTAATTAAAAAGAAAAAAAATTCTCATGTAATAGCGAACGCCATATCGATTACCATTTAAATGCAGTAGTCCATCCTACCACCGCACCATAAGCACAAAGCCATTTCATTACGACTTCAATTAGAGGATTATATGAAACCTGTGCGAGATACTCGCTAATTAAAACCTATTAAATATATAATTAACTTATGTGAAAAACGACTTATGAGTTCGTTTTTCAGAACGCAAGGTAGTGTTGCTTACTTTATTGTTCAGACAAAATTGCCTTTTAAATTAATAAATGTCATACCTTTTCTCCCCAGTCACATGCTATTTTAAATTATACAGGTGGATTTTCATGATATATTTAACTCTCTTGTGCTAAATAGACAATGCACTAGCTTCTAAGTCAAAATTCTAAAGGCCCGTTCAATTTACAACATGAACAAGATTTATTTTGCATATAAAAGATTATTAAAATTCTCTTGAAAGGGTACATGGCCCCCTTTGGTAACCGTTGCCACACATAAAGCTGAAAAATAATCGTACTTATGAAGAATTTCTTTAGTTAAGCAAGTAAATAGTATGAGATGTCTACGATACGCTGGACATTTATTTAGTGTTACTCCATTTGTTATCTTCTTATGTAGGAAACAAACAAACAAGTTATAAGCTACCTCTCGTACTTAAAGATTTTCAAACTTCACTTAACGGTAGCGTAAAAATGTAACCGATTAGAAAGCAAATGGTGCTTTCAGGATTCGAGTTAATATTGTTGAAAGCTTTGTATAATCGACGAATCTCTATTCACGTGAAAAGTTTCAGTAAATTTATTACTTTATTCAGTGTTTGATTTCCGATTTTTATTCCGGGCACGGACGCCCGAGCGAAGTTCCGATAAAGCGCTAAAAATGAGATCCATTTCCAGGAAAACCCGTTTAAAACAATTACATTTCGTGTTTAAATTTCTGTTTGTCCTCTCGTTAATGGAATCTATTAATGATAATTCCGAATTGAAAGAGGTTGATAGATAGAGGTGCATCGTTTTTAGAATTTATTCATGTAACGGAAATCGAGAAAATGCACTTTATAAAAGGCAATTTGGAGACTTTTGTAACGCCCAATTGAGTGAAGATTTTTTCTAAACAATGGACACAATTTAGACTTGATCATTAGACAGAAATCTAACAACAATGAAATCGATATACATAGGTAGGTATCTAAAGCTACGTGTAACTGCTTTCGCAGATTACGAGTTACAGAATAGTGTGCTGGAAATGGCGACAAATAGGATTAGGTGTAAAATACTCGCATTCGCACAGAGATTTAGAAAGGCTTCGACACGAGTAGTAATTAGCCATGTATGGCTTCGGGTGCAAGACGAGGAGAAGGAACAAGATTTGCATGCATGACTTTTTTTAAGTGTCTTCCTCTGCAGCGTTAAATTATTATCCACTTTGCATCGATCGGCTCAAAAATGCTCAGTTAAATCATCGCTTTAAAAGGATTGTTTTACACAGAAACGCTTTGTGTGAACACAATTAAAAAGAACATACGCGCCGTTTGTGAGTAGAGGCCAGAAACTTAAATATGCAAGTATAATGTGATTAATGAAGAACACAAGACTACTAAATTATATTAAATGTAACCTAATAAAATATCCGACTAGAGTTCATAGCGCAAAACAGAGTGGTCCCTAATGGATGTAGCCGAGACGTTACTGTAACTCATTAGGGACTTAATTATATCTATATAGACAATTTATGAGAAAATAATGGAAATAAATGTCCTTTACCGAATGACGTTTTTCTCTGTTTACTTGCCTTAGCAGTAAGTTTTAATTGATATTTACATAATATCGTTAAATTTTATTTTGCGTTTGGAAAGTGCAGAGCAAGCTTTTACAGCAGTCTGCGTTATGAATATAGCACTTGAAGTGAAATAACTTGCAAGTGTAGCCTAGTAAAGGAAATTCGAAAATTAGGGTAGTATAACAGTGACGCGCCTTCCTTAGTGCCTACTCCCTACTTAAGCCTTACGTTTAAAATATGAAAAATGTTATAATTCCTTATAGGCACTTTGTTGTCCGGTTTATGGTGGTGGGGGTTGTGGCAATTACAATCTCAATTGTGTAACTTTTAAGGATCGCTTGCTTTCAACCCCTACTACTCGATGTCGTTCGAAACTACATAGCAATTGCTTACTGCTGTAACAAAGCAAACCGTTTTGCGACATGAAATCCACACACTCTGTATTCACTCAACCAGGCGCTAACTAAAACACGTGACTTCTGAACCATTTACTTCACGGAATTGGCAATGGAGTGCAGAATTAATTGCCTAATTTGTTGTGTCGTCTTTCTATCGTTGATAGTAAAACAAGATACCGTATATAATTCGTCCGTGTTGTAACCGTTCCCGTGGAGATATTTAAATTATTTTTACAGCATTCCAATGTTCTCGTCATTTAAGGTTCTTCCCGCATTTTGTTGTTGGAAACGCTTAATTAGGGTGGCCTCTAGTCATTTTTATTACTCTCATGATCGTACCTGGAGGGGGGGGGGGGCTTATTAGCATATCGTACCTACTTAAAAAGTGGGGTAAAAATATTGAACTGATTAAAAAAATTAGTCTATGAGTAAAAGAAGGATAAACTATCCGTCAGCACACGAATAGACCCTATAAATAGTGTAACGACATTTTCGCCGTATTTGAAGGGACATGCTACGTTAATTTAACACACAACACAGAGTAGGTGTAGGTATATTAAAATCCAGCAACCATTTTCTTTGATTACGCTTCATCTAAATGTTGCTGTGGTTTTGAGGCGCTCCAACGTCCGTAAACGTGACAAAATGTAAACTGTAGCGATAAAATAAATTCCGTTGTGCGAAACTTCCCTTTTTCGCAATATCCGAAAAGAGACGTCCAATATATCAAAATAGGTGATCTATCATTGTTTAACAGTTTTATGGAGTATTGCGAGCAGGTGCGCTGCAAATGGCCAATTTACTTAGTATTCATCATCCGTAACGTTTAACAATAGGTACGCTGGACATGCTGATAGTTAAATTGCTTATTACATGAAGCAACGTGAGGTTGTAATTTTTCAAAAACATCATCAATATTGTAACTTTTTAATGAATGGTAAATGTAATTTCATGGGGCATAACATCCGGCATTTTATACTAACGAGATATTTGTGTCAATATCCATATACCTAAATATTAAAAAAAAGAAAAAAAAAAGCTTTTATGTATCAGTGCTACCCGAAAGATCATATAACTTATTTAAGTGCGTCCAAAAATTACGCTACGAATTTTGCCACTCGGTTTAAAGTTTCTTTTTAAAGCTCGAATCGCGGTTTCGTTTTCTCGGGTAGGCAATATAATAGAAGTTCGAGCTATGAAGAGGTGTCCCAAAGATGGAGTAAGTACTAAAATTACTTGACCCAAGTTTAAATAATTACTACAGAATTCAAAAACGAAATATTGCTTCACTGTATTTGCTGTCTAATCGAGCCATGACAATGGGGCTCTGTTCGATCTGCTAGCTTAGTGTCCTAAAAATCTGGGCGCCATTATCGTTCTTGTCGCGCCGATATCTGCAAATATGGACACTGGTTTTCCATCCACTAAACTAAACAGTCTACACAAATCGAACTATTAGTATTGAGTGCAGGGACAGTGGTTTCTGGGGCTTTAACATAGCAGGTCAATGTTTTGCCCTTCAACCTTTTTTAGTTATCCTCTTTTGTTGTTGGGATCCAATAGTGAGCGCCTACCTGCGATGATTGACGTGACTGTTTTTATACTAGAAGAGCAATAGATAATTTATTACTTTTTGCTCAAGATCCCAAACTTCATATACCCCAGTAATCTATCTGCAATATCTGTCAAAGCTTTTGACAGCGATTGGAACCAAAGGGTACAGAAAAGCGAAAAACAGCCATTTTGTTGTAATTCCGTGACTGACCATTTCCGTTCTGTCTAGCTTTCCCAATTACATTTGTTCAGATTAAAATGACTAGATTTAGGTTTTGTTTCTGCCTATCTGGCAAATCAATTTTAAGTCAGGTCAGGCAGTTTTACTATATCGTAAAGTGGAAAAGGTAATATCTGAAATAAAATGATACTTTTCCCAATTTTTCTTTAATTTCACTTCAAATAAATTATTTTAATGAAAGTATTCCTCTTACAATTTCCGAATAATAACTTTCCCTCTTCAATATAATATTTTTTTTAATATAGAGCGAAATTTGTACTACTGCTATAAAGATTATTGGTGAATGATCAATTTTAGCTTTGAGCCGAACTTAAATAAATGTAAATGTTATTTTAAGAGAAAAAAAATATTCATAGGGATGATTAATCTGCTGAAAAGTAAGAACATAATTTGACATATCATATAAAGATTATCTCAGCTTAAAATCCACTGAATATTATTTTCATCAAAGAGGTTAGTTAGAATATTACACGACCCGATTTTATTCATTATAAAAGGTCTATTGGCGCGATTGAATTAAAAAAAAACTTTCCGAAGGGCGTATCCTGCAAATGTGACGATTAGAGCATTGTGCGTGGGTTCACCATCCACCATGCCCCACCTTTTTGTTTTTTGTGTGCCGTAGATCGTTGTGTTCGTCGTAAGTAGGAAAACACTTTTTCCCACTCGGTGCGTAGAATCCAAAACGATTCGTACATTCTTAATACAGTATGTACTTTGGAACATTGCTGTTGGATCGTCTTCCAGATGAGTATCAATCAATGATTATGGGCATGGATCGTTCAAGTATAGAAATTGCCGACGGTATCCTTATTAAAAAATAAAATTAATTAAAAAATACTAAACATAACCTTAAATTTTAATTAAAAGTAATCATGTAAATAAAATTTATTAGTTTCCAAATTATTTGAAATTGGATAGCAAACATTATTTTGTAACGGAAACGTGATTCACTTTCTTCTACAAATTGTATAATGAGCAACAGTTGCGAATTTCAATAAGTGTTCGAAGTAGTCACTCCCGTTAAGGAGACACACATCCACTCTTTTCTTCACGTTTTCGAAAACTGCATGAAGTTTTTGTTGTGTTATGTTCCATATGACAAACCAGTTTGTTGGGATACCTTTCACAGTGGCTTATGGGGGATTTGTTCTAGTGCAGTACGCACCATCTTCTACTACCGCCTCGTTAGCAACCGTTGGACGACCAGGGTATATTCCACAAACAACACTTCCCGTATCGTCAAATCGCTTAAATCCACGAAGAATGTGGTGGCGCGTTGACGGAAATTTGTGAGAACTGTCTAAAACCCAATCATATTCGTAGTGAAGATAGTGTTGCAGACATGTTAACCGAGCCACTTCTGATACAGTCATAGTGTTTTCAATTACCCTCCATCAACTTTTCGAATTAATTTGATTTTACACCCATTCACATTTTTTTTCTTCGAATTCTTCCGACTATAGAAATTATTTAAATTATTTACTTCCATCAGGTTTTTTAATTATTACGATTTTGACAATTTCATTGTTTAGGACCTTCCAAATAATAGAATAAAAATTTTAGGTTGCTATTTGAAAAAAAAAGTTCGATGCCGTTACGGCGCTCCAAAATTTTTTTTCAAAAATCCGGCCCGTTTTTTTTTCTGTTCGGTATGCCTAAAACATATATACAAAATTTCAACAAAATCCGTCGAGCCGTTTTCTCAGAAAATTGCCAACAAACGTACGTACGTACGTACGTACATACAGACGGAAAAAATTTTTATTCTTTAAAAGTTGCTTAAAATGTTCTAAAACGTCGACATTTGATGAAATTTTGAAATGTTCAAAAAACGGCTATCGCAATAGCTACCTAGCACATGCTAGGAAGCTAAAAATACGGCACAAAACATTGGGAAGAAAAGACTTTCAAATAATGTGATGGCATTTAAAATGGGGTTGTATTCATATCATTGAAGAACGATAATATCAGTGGGGGAATTTTATTGCAAAAATTGTACAATTGACGCATCAACCTGAATTAAGTCCCGACTGCTTTTTTTATACTTTTTTGAAAAATTTATTTTAGAAATTCTTTCATTTGTAAAAAATCTACGGAATTGCATATTAAAAAAGTAACTTTTATAGAGCTTGAGCGTAAATCGAAAAGGATGCTTGCGTTTACTTTTAAATTCTGATAGTGGTCTATAAAAAAAAATTATTTTTGTCGTGACAATATGGAGATTTAATCTATTTTTGTATTCTTATAATAATAAATCGGCTGTGTACTTATGTTCTCAAATCATTGCGTGCATTAACAGTCTTTCTTAGGGATTCTCATTGACGCGATTTACCAATTACAAAACATGCAAGTGTACGTAATGTGGAGTATAGATTTTTACTTATCCAGTTAGGATAACGCTTTACTTTGACTATATAAACAAGCACTATTTTGTTATGATGCACTCATTTTGTAGCCTGCCAATAGGTATCATAGTCCTGGCAAAAAGCGGTACCTACTACTTGTCTGTTGGTTACAAATAATTATTCCATCACGTATCATCTCTTCAGTGCAATTTGGCAAGTGTTGATATTGTTCTTTATTATTATTGTAGTACCTATCCCTTCTCGTCATTATTAATTGAATATTTTGTTTGGAAATGTTGGCTTTACATATAATTTTCCAGCTATAGCATGTAAAGCCTCGTTTAAAATAGGTGTAAGTAGGTTAATTTATTAGACTTAATTTAACAGTAGGTCGGGAGGTTTCTGTAGTTTAATGTAAGGTAGAGTTGTCATTTATTCCCTTGAAGGGTCGTTTATGATTTTTAGCCCTCTCAAGTAATTCATCAGTTCTTTCATGATCCAAACCCAAACCTAGTTTTGTGTGATGGACCAAACCGTTTATTGTAATATTCAATCTGTTGTACGGAATATGAAAAATATATAACAACATAAAGCAGGACAAATTATAATCATTCCCGATGAGTGTGCTTTGAGAAAGGTCACCGATGAGATCACTGAAACCTCGTAGATTGTATTGAAGTTACCACTCCCAAACTTAATTAGTAATCTTCATAGGTTCATTACACAATTTTTTATACTTTCACAGAAAGAGACGCTATGGTTCAAATCACTGGAAAATACAAGCTTCAGAAATGCGAAAACGCCTCCGAATTTACCAATGCCATAGGTAAGTGGGGAAATTAAAAATTTCCATTTCTTATAACAAATCGTTCAAATTTCAGGCGTTCCGGCCCATGCCGACAAATTGTCAGATCCGGGACTAGAAGTGAATGTGACTTTAGACGGAAAAGTATATACCTTTGATTATGGATTTACCAGATTTCGGGTCATGTTGGATCAGGAATGGATAGAACCTCTAATAGCATGTCCAGTGAAGCTGAAGGTTAGTAGACCTATCTAGGAATACAACTGCGAGAGAACTCTTTTCCAGAATACTGCGAAACTTGACGGAAACACTCTGACTGTGTCTACGACTGCGGATGATGGTCGATATGGAACCAGGGTTTACGATTTTACCCAAAAGGGATTCGTGCAAGTAAGATCTTTGCTCCTAGACCGTTTATGTGGTAAACACGTTTTCGATTTGCAGACTCTTACCGTTATGAATGTAACAGCTAAACGTCATTTTGCAAGAGTTAACTGAGAAGCTATTCCGGTTACTGCGTACGCTTTTGTGTCTGTTGTGTTCCCTTGGCAATATTTCAAATTTGTGCCCAATTTAATCACCCAGTGTACTAAAATTTTAATATTATATTTGTTAAGTACTCATTTATAAACAATAATAACCGTAAATAGTTAGTTATTAAATATTAATCTCAAACAAATGTCTAAAATATGTTATGTTATGCATGTGACGACTTGCCATTTATTGTGACCGATGAAACTACTAAATTACTAAATTGTTTCTATACATGGTTTGTGTATAGGGTTGGCAGAAGGAGAATCTGAGAGGGTGTTGCTTAAAGTTTCTATCCTACTTTGTTCAGTCGCTGTCATGGAGTGGACGGAGATGCGGTTGAATCTTACTTTTCTAATGGTCTTCCATCATCGCTAGGCAACGTGGATTCCGTGCCCGTGACGGTTTTCCTTGCTCAGGACCAATTGTTTTATAGGTAAATGACTTCACAGAAGCTGATGATGTGAAGAAGAAGAAATCTGGAATTCCAAGAACAGTTAGATCATCTCAAAACATTGACTTGGTAATCCGTTCCGTTCTGCAATCTCCTAATATAAGCGTTCTGCTTGTTAACAACCAGCAGCTCTTGAGATTTCTGCCGTTTAATCAGACGAATCCTTCATGAGGAACTGAACTTTTACCCCTACACATTGGCAGTGGTACATCCATCGTGATTTTGCTGTTCGTCCTCGAACGCCATAGTTTTGTTCACTGATGAGGCTCATTTCCATCTTTAGGGATGTGTCAATAAGAAGAACACAAACGTTTTTAGACCCCTGCCAGCTTCATCAACGTCCTTTACATTCGGAACGTGTTGCTGCTCGGTGTGCGATATCGCGAGTTGGTTTTTTTAAGAGAACAACCAAGCAGTCACTGTGACTGCAGACCGATATGTTAACACGGTTCAAGAATTTTTCTTTCCAGCATTTGAAGAAATGGGCGTGGGAGAAATGTGGTTCTAGAATCACGATGCCACGGCACACACCGCATGAGGGTTAATGACAGTTTTGCGGCAACACTTTCCAGGACGACGATCTGCGTTGGTCGGCGCGGCCTTCTGCCACTACTTTCAGCGGAATTCTGGATTCTGGATCACGATAGGAGGGTGGACACGCCTACCTAGCCCTCAAATGTAATAATATTGATTTACCCCTAGGGTTGAACTTAGTGTTGTCTCATTTACTATGGTCAGCATTTGAGGCTCACCCCTATAATTAGGTGTTTATTGCTTCTATCAGCAGAAGCAGAAGAGCTTTAAAATAGCTAGAAACATAAATACATGTACTAGGTTTTCTTGCCGTGTATAAAAAAAAGCGGTTCCTTTTGTGCCCCCAATATTAGAAATCAGTGATTTAACAACCCATGGTTCTTGAATGATGGCAATGTCCTGCTTTACAGTGAGGCATCTACCTAAGATAACAGCAGCCGCTCTACACTGTCGCAGGTTTATTTGTATAAAATCATACTACAGCAGCGCCTCAATATTCGCAAACTCCTCCCAGTTCGAAATCAGCCCGGGTGAGTTATTGACGCTGGAGCAAGCACCAACCACAGGTGCCTTGGCAGCCTGGATGCTTCCATAACTTCTTCCAGTTGCCCATGTAGCAGCTGTTGGTGTTGTTGTGGTGGTTGTACTGATGTACTCCCCATCTCAGGTTCGGCAGGGTTACTAACCCTCACCTTTAGAGTGGAAGAGACACCAGCTGCCTACAATTGCACCCCTGACCGCCATCAGGTCGCCAGGTTCCCCCGGAACACCTTTAGGTGTGCAATCTCCCACCATTGTAGGAAGTTGCCAGCCCCCTCCCCCCTCCCTTCAACCACTTCAAGGGAATCTCGTATGATATTCTTAGGATCTCGCCCGAGGATCAGTTCATCCGCTGTTACGGGTCGCTTCGCAGGGTACAAACATGAGGGTGTTGTCTTTAGTCTGAATTCTCACTGGGGGCCGTCATAAGGAAATTACTCTACCATTCATGCATTCTGTTTCGATAATTAATAAGAAAGTAAGAAATCTAACAACATAGTTATTGAATTAAAATTGTCTTTTTTTAAATATTCCCCTAAATTCAAGGGGGGGATTTAATAATAATAATAATGATGTATATTTTGCCCAACAGATGAGTATCCAATTAACGGACAAAATCCATATAACAAATACGCAAGCAAGTACAGTAACAAAAAGAGAAATTTAAATATATGAGTAGAATAACAATAAATTTAAAAATACACTATATAACAAAGACAAAAAATATTTAACATTTCTTATAATATTAACAATGAAAATCTAAATTATTAGCCCCTTTATGGTTCGAATGAAAAGACAGAATTGCATGATCAAATTCGTATACATTATTGGAAGTGTTTACAGTCATCGCTCATGTTCTTACGATGATTAATGACAAAAGTTTTGGATTTTTCAGATTCTGTGCAGTATTATTTGGTGCTGTTTTCCATTTCCTTGAATTTTACGTTTATTCTAGTGCTTTCAATTGCCCTCCATCAATTTTTCGAATTAATTTGATTTTACACCCATTCACATTTGTTCGAATTCTTCCGATTCTTAAAATTCTTCAAATTATTTGCTTCCATCAGGTTTCTAAAATTCAACATTTTTTTTTAATATTACGATTTTGACAATTTTATTGTTTAGGACGTTTAGTGCTTCACATGCTTTGGATCGTTGATTATACTTCGGACATTGTGGATTCTTGAGTTTATTAAAATTATTCTGACCTTTCAAATTCTTCGGAATATTTGTATTTTTCCACGTTTTTCAAATTCCTACGATGCATCAGATTCCAATTGTCAAAACAAAAAATAGAAATCTTTATATAACCTGAAACTATTATCCACAATGGAGAAAGCGAAGAGGGAATATGCATTTATTTTTTTTAATTTTGCTTTCTTAAATTCTGAAAGGCACCCCTATCAAAAAATGTTTCATTAAAAAAATTATTTTTGTCGTGAAAATATTGAGATTTAATCTATTTATTGTTGTAATAAAGTGCAAAAATGCTCTTAGAATCTATATCTAGTCGGCAAATTGCTATTACTCGCTCCAAGATTATGTGAAGTCATAGATGTTATCACTGTTGTACGTTATCTGTTGTATGTTATTTAAACTGAAATATCCCTACGCTTATTATAGATGTAATCATTTTTTATTTGTTATACAATAATTACCGACTTACCTTTACATTGTAGGAATGGCAACAAAAAAAAAGGTTTAATAAATCAGCTGTGTATGTATGTCATCAAATCACTGCATGCTTTCTTAGGGATTCTCATTGATGCGATTTACCAATTACATAACATGCAAGTGTACGTAATGTGGAGTATAGATTTTTACTTATCCAGTTAGGATAACGATTTACTTTGACTATATATACAAGCACTATTTTGTTATGATGCATTCATTTTGTAGCAGCCTGCCAATAGGTATCATAGTTCTGCCAAAAGCGGTACTACTTGTCTGTTGGTTACAACTTATTCCAGAGTACCATCACTTCATCTCTTCAGTGTAACTTGGCAAGTGTTGATATTGTTCTTTATTATTATTGTAGTACCTATCCCTTCTCGTCATTATTAATTGAATATTTTGTTTGTAAATGTTGACTTTTACATATAATTTTCCAGCTATAGCTTTGTTTAAAATAGGTTTAAATAGATTAATTTATTAGACTTAATTTAACGGTAGGACGGGAGGTTTCTGTAATTTAATGTAAGGTAGAGTTGACATTTATACCCTTAAAGGGTGGTTTATGATTTTTTGTCCTCTCAAGTAATTCATCAGTTCTTTGATGATCCAAATTTAGTTTTGTGTGATGGACCAAACCATTTATTGTCTTACATTTTTTGAAATTTTCTACTTAGGCAATTCAATCTGTTGTACCGAATACGAAAACATAAAGCAGAACAAATTATAATCATTCGTGATGATTGTGCTTTGAGAAAGGTCGCCAATGAGATCACTGAAACCTCGTAGATTTACCACGCCCAAACTTAATTAGTACCTATTCTTCATAGGTTCATTACACAATTTTTTTATACTTTTCACAGAAAGCGACGCTATGGTTCAAATCACTGGAAAATACAAGCTTCAGAAATGCGAAAATGCCTCCGAATTTACCAATGCCATAGGTAAGTGGGGAAATTTCCGTTTCTTATAACAAATCGTTCAAATCTCAGGCGTTCCGGCCCATGCCGACAAATTGTCAGATCCGGGACTAGAAGTGAATGTGACTTTAGACGGAAATGTATATATCTTTGATTATGGATTTACCAGATTTCGGGTCATGTTGGATGAGGAATGGACAGAACCTCTAATAGCATATCCAGTGACGCTGACGGTTAGTAGACCTATCTAGGAATACTGCGAGATAACTCTTTTCCAGAATACTGGGAAACTTGACGGAAACACTCTCACTGTGACTACGACTGCGGATGATGGTCGATATGGAACCAGGGTTTACGATTTTACCCAAAAGGGATTCGTGCAAGTAAGATCTTTGCCCCTAGACCGTTTAGGTGGTAAACACGTTTTCGATTTGCAGACTCTTACCGTTATGAATGTAACAGCTAAACGTCATTTTGCAAGAGTTAACTGAGAAGCTATTCCGGTTACTGCGTACGCTTTCGTGTCTGTTGTGTTCCCTTGGCAATATTTCAAATTTGTGCCCAATTTAATCACCCGGTGTACTAAAATTTTAATATTATATTTGTTAAGTACTCATTTATAAACAATAATAAACGTAAATAGTTAGTTATTAAATATTAATCTCAAAGAACTGTCTAAAATGTCATGTTATGTTATCCATGTGACGACTTGCCATTAATTGTGGCCAATAAAACGACTAAATTACTGAATTGTTTCTATAAACGGTTTGTGTATGGGTTGGCAGAAGGAGAATTCGAGGTGATGTTGCTTAAAGTTTCTATCCTACTTTGTTCAGTCGCTGTCATGGAGTGGACGGAGATGCGGTTGAATCGTACTTTTCTAATAGTCTTTCTTCCATCATCGCTACGCAACGTGGATTCCGTGCCCGTGACGGTATTCCTGGCTTAGGGCCAATTGTTTTATATTCCAAGAACAGTTAGATCATCTCAAAACCTTGATTTGGTAATCCGTTCCGTTTTGCAATCTCCTAATATAAGCGTTCTGGTTGTTAACAACCA